CGCCCCTAGAGGACAGAGTGGAACTGCCCCATTGGGATTCCAAGGCTGTAATCTTTATGGAGGGAGCTCTGGTAGCATAGTGCCTAAGGCACTTGAATGCTTATCAGAAGGCTTGTGGTTCAAACCCACCAGCCACTCCTCAGAAGGAAGATGGTGCAATCTACTTCGTAGTGATACTGCCTTGGAAACCCAAGGAGGGGTGGCCATGAGTCGGGTCCAACTCAACGGCACATTAACAACAACAACAACAACAATCTTTATGGAAGCAGACTGCTTCATCTTTTTTCCTCTGGAGGAGCTGGTGGGTTAGAACTGTAACCTTTTGGTTAGCAGTCCTGTTTTAACCACAGCACCACCAGAGCTCCCCAATGAACTAAGCCTGCTAATAACAGGAAATGTTAAAATGCACATTCTGAATATAACATGTGTTATAGATCATGAAACTGCTACCCTTTCTTCCCCTTTGAGAATCCAAACCAACACCTGTGGCCATAGTGTCGATTTCAACTCACTGACGTCACCACGTTAGCAGAGCGTCTGGAGACAATCACTCGCTGATGCGGCCTGAGAGTTACACTCAGAAAACCGCCATGATGGATGCCAAGTAGAGTCACGTGGGAAACTTTTCACTTACTCTTCACTCTTTCTGGGCATCCATAATGTGAAGTTGGCATCTGAGAGAAACATGTGAACTCCACTACTTCAGACCTTCCAGAACACTGTTCTCTTTATCCACTATTTCAGACCTTCTGTCCTCTTTGGAAAACAGCCTTTTCAACCCTTTGTTCAACACTTATCAGACCAAAATGCATCTCTTGCCCATACCTGGTGAGTCGTGGGTAATGGGAATAATTTTTAAGTTAAACACACCCAAGGGCTACACTAGTGTCATGACATCCCTTCAAAGAAGGCTTTGGGGAGGACCATCTTATTCCGACCAATACCAAGGCACCGTCCTCTTGGAAAATACTCAGTCCTTTGGGTATTTTCTCTGCTGAGAAATCTCTCTTCCTCTTTATTATTTCGGTGGTGGCTGTTAGGTGCCATTGAGTCAGCTCCAACTCACAGCGACCCCGTGTGTGAACGAAACCCTGCCCAGTTCTGTGCCAGCCTCACAACTTGCCTTGCTCGAGACCACTGCTGCAGCCACTGTGCCAATCCAGCTCATGGGGGTCTTCCTTTTGTTTGATGACTTTCTACTTTACCCAGCATGGTGTCCCATTATTTTGGGGTGGATCTGACATGGAAAAAGTGACACGCTGTGCAGTAAGTCTGCAAGGCTGAGCCAGCGATATGGGCTTGGGCTGAGGTCCCAACATACCAGTGACCCTGAACAAGCCAATCCTCTGGTTGGGACCCAAGTGGAGGGAGAAGCCCATCACCAAGCGCCTGGCATAGCCCATGGCCCGTGAGGACAGAATGGCAGCAGTGTGCAAATGTGGACCAGAGGGTGACTTGGGTAATTCAGTTCCCCGTCAAATGCCAGATGCAACAAGAAACTGACTCTTACTATTCAGAAAATTACACCTGACACATGAACAGCCACAATAAGCCTCGTCAAAATAAGTGCATGGCATCCTCAGGTGACCACTTCCAAAGGGCACCTCCAATACGCTTCCTCACTGCTGTGGAGTCCTTCTGAGTCTTAGGGACCTGTCCTTGGGTTTCCGAGGCGGTATCGCTACTGGAGTAAATTGCCCAACCTTCCTTCCGAGGAGTGGCTGGTGGGTTTGAACCGCCAGCCTTCTGGTGAGCAGTCAAGTGCCTTAGGCACTGCGCCACCAATATGCTGAGTGGCCCCTAAACTCACGCTTTCACTGTGAGTTGAGGCTCTCATGGGGCAGTCCTACTCTGCCCTCTAGAGGCGCTGTGAGTCGGACTCCACCTGACACAGTTTGGCTTGGTTGTAGTTTGACTAGTTCCTTGCTCTAGTTCCCGGGACTTGCAACCTCACCCTGGAGCTTGTCACAAATGCAGAATCCCGGATTCCGCCCAGACCCACGGAATCCGAGCTTCCATTTGAACAGCATTCCCAGGGGTTCCCGTCCGCTCAAGTTTGAGAAACGCTGTGGGCAGCCCAGCGAGGATCGGCGGCCGAGCGCATGCAAGCCCGGCGGCGCCCTTACCTTGGGGAAGGCGTCGGGCCACACGCTGGGGGAGCCGTGATTGAGCAGCGCCTGCACCGCGCGCTGTGGCGCCGCGGGCTCGGGCGCGCAGGTGGC